ATATTAAAGAAAAATAAATTAAAAATGTCTGAAAACAAAATAATTCATCTAATTGACACCAGAGTGGAGATACCTAGGTAGCAATTTGTCAAGTATTACTTGTTTTCTTCCAGTAGCTGTAGAGTCGAAAGCGAGTTTTACTTGCTAAGACAATCTGGCCAGTTTTGAATAAGTGACTGGCCAGTTTCACTGGATAAAAACAATTCCCCTTTGTGCACAGTACTTTTGTCAAGTCACTGACCAGAAAATTTTTTTTTCTGATTATATAATCGTAACAAGAATTTCTTCCCAGACATTGGCAAGTCACATGATCGTTTCACTGTCACATTACCAAAGTTTACATTTTTCTGAATTTTGACAAGATAAGCGGTCAAGTCTCTGACAAGTGACTAAACAGTTTATCTGGTCATGATTTCTGATCATTACACTGCAAAAACTGGTATCTCATTCGTGTCTTAAAATGAGTTGCTTTAAGTGTTTAAACCATTGAGATACAAAATCTGTTTTATATTGAGACATTTAATTTCATCTCGTGTCTCATTTTAAGACATTAAAGGTAACTCAATGCGTATAAGACACGTAAAACGTCTTCTTAGTGTGAGACGGATACTTGAAACACATTTCGTGTCTCAAAATGCATTGCTAAATGTGTAAGACACTTTGAAACGTCTTAAAATGAGACACATATCTGTTTCAAATATGTGGACTAAGACATCTTATGTGTTTCAAATATGGGACAAAACGTCTCAAAATGAGACACTTGTTTTTGCAGTGTACTTCTGACAAGTCACTGGCAACAAATTCTGGTCACAATCGGAATAGAACTTTAGTTATTAAACTTGTAGTTATGATAAGTTACTATCTAGTCACCGTGGGTGCGTGGTAACGCACATGCGTTGTGTCTCCAGGGTCTAGGGTTCAGTCCCCATGCGTGCGAATTTTTCATTCTTAGATTTAAGTGCACGGAGAGAAATTTATAGTAGTGGGTAACATAATTGTGGTTAGGGTGACCATCTTTAATGCTACGTATACAGACAGCTATCTAGATAGTCACCGTTACCATCAATATCATCAGGAGTAACATCTTGGTAGTACGGGGTAGCATAACTATATTTTTTTTAGCATCTGTGATGGTTGGCAGTAGCATAATGATAGTATCGTGTAACATCATCTTTTTAACATCAAAATCTGACTATCTATTTCTCTCAGTGTGTTATTGGTAGAGTAATTGTTCATTAGTCTAAAATATTTGAATAAACACAAAAATATAAATAAATATGTAATTATAAACAAAATAAAAAGAGCCAGATTTTCTGGTCAATCACTGGCCAGAATCTAGAAAAAATTCCCAGTGACTGGTCATTAAAGAGTTTAAATTTCTACCTGGGTATAATTGTAGGTTGAGTCGAAAGTTACAATCAAACGACATATTGATTGAAGATTGGAATCAGTGCAGTATTTGAAATTTTTGGCTACATGAAAACTGCACTGAATCCCATGACAAATGTTCAAAATGTGACCAGAGTAAAGGAAAAGTAATTTGAACGATTAAAAATTAAGTTTAAGCTAAAAGTAAAAAATTATAAGTATTGGCCATCTCACGAGATGGCCAATACGGACATTCTGGGAGAGATGGCCAAATGCACTTTTTACAAAATATAAATTTTTAGATTGTTCCTATGAAAATACATTATTTTATTTTTCGTTACTTTAACTTTAACACCGAAATGTACAAGTTTTTATCACAAGGTTTAACACTATAGTTTAACATAAAAACTCTACAGAAAAAATTCCCCAATAGTGATTTCTTATTGGCCAAAAACCGCTCTTTCGAATGGAGTTCCAAAAATTTTTATAAATTTATAAATAAACAAATTACATATGTTTTTTAAAAAAAACATGAAATTTTTAGGTTTTTTAAAAAATTTTCTAATTTTAGTACGGGTATTCGTATTGAAACACATTTAAAAGTCTTAAATATCGCGTCAAAAATATATTCCTTATCAGATAGGGGTATTCCAAAAAAAAAAATTTCAAAATGGCGGACACAAAATGGCGTCTAAAGTGAACTTTTATTTACAATATCGTAGCCAGGTGAACAAAATCGCAAAACTTGATAGATTTCTATGAAATTTGACAGCTAAGTGTTTTTGATGTTCCTGATTAGGAATCCAAAGCCAGAATTCGAAAATTCAAAATGGCGGATAAAATTTAATATGGATAATAAAATTGTTAAAAACTAATTGGATTCACTGGAAAATTGTTACTTGGGGGTTTTCAGGGTCGCTGATTACGAATTCAAAGTCAGATTTAGAAAATTCAAAATGTCGGATCCATTAAGGCAGACGACTTAATTAAAAATTAATTGGATTTGCCTGAAAATTGTTACTTGGTGATTTTCAGGGTCGCTGATTACGAATCTTAGACCTATTTTTTAAAATTTTAAATGAAGGATCCAAAATGGCGGATGGATTTTCGAAAAATGGATTAGATTTGCCTGAAACTCGTTACTTGAGGGTTTATGGAATCGCTGATTACGAATCGGGAATCAGATTTCAAAAATTTCAAAATTGCAGTACCAATATAGCAAGTAACTTTTTTAAAAATGTATTGGATTCGCTTTTTTCTAAACAGTGCTGTGAATTCTTGTATAATGTTATTTTGTTTTTGTGCTGCTTTGATTCAAGCTTGTATTTGAACAGTATTCATTATTTTTGCATAATATTAATTTGTTTATGTGTTACTTTATTTCACAGAAGTTGTTTATAATTAAATTTTCTTTTTAAAATATTTTGATGTATTTGAATGATAGTTTTTTGTTTTAAGACTTGTAATAATTTGTTTCTCTAAAGTGCTGTACTTTCTTGCATAACATCATTTTGTTTTTGTGTTACTTGGATTCACGAAAGTTACTTACAATTTTATTTTTATTTTAGTAATCTGCTGAGGTATTAAAATGATAGTATTTTGTTCGTAGGCTTGCGATAGTCGTTTGTTTTTTGACAGTGTTCATCATTCTTGTATAATATTATTTGTTTATATGTTAGTCGATTTCATAGAAGTTATATATATATATATTGATACAGGTCACTAAATGGTAAGAAAAAAACAAAACATTATTTTTCGTTCCCGCATAGTCTTGGTCGAGCCAATGTTACTATCCTAAAAGAAAATTGTAATACCATTTTTAGTTTACTTTTTGAAAATGAAGTTTATATTCGTAAATCAGCGACCCCAAAAACCCCCGAGTAACAAAATTCAGGCGAATCCATTGACTTTCGGGCAATTTGACCAATATTGCCCAAAATTTTTAAATTTTACTTTAGATTTGACGCCATATTGGTCCGCCATCTTGAAATTTTTAATTCTACTTTACGGTTCTTGAAAGTGTATAATTTTTATGCACCGATGGTTGAAAATAGAATTTTATTCTTATACTTTTTCAAGGTGAAAAAAAATGTCAAACTTGAAAAAATGAATTTTTTTTTTGTGTTTTTTGACATTAAAACCGCCATATTTAATTTTGGTTTGGACGAAATTTATTTTTGACACCGGAATCGGAAAGAGCACATCCAAAACCTTCAGAAAATGTACCTCTGGTTTAAATTGTCAACCGTTTTATTTATAATTACGTAGCTTGAAAATGACCAAAGAATTTTCACGAGTTGGGCGTTAATGGGTTAAGTTTCTTAAAAATTTATTTTTGAGTATTTTAAAAAAAATTTGCAAAATTTCGACAAAATCTATGGCTTATACACTTCTTTAAACATGAAATTGCAGATTCAGACCACGTGGCGCAGTGCGTATAGTGTCCGCTCGCTAACGTGACGCCCTATATTCAATATTTAATTTCTCGAAAACAAAAAAAAACGGTTTTCTGAAAATTAAGTATATTTTGGGAAAAAAACCTCAGCATTAAACGGACTACGGCAATCGAAAGCTGATGAAAGAATCTAAAGAAGCCTAAATGAAGTAGTGCGTGTCGCATCAAAACTCAAAACATTTACCCCCTCCCCTTCTGATAATTTTTGATAAAATTTAAAAATATTTGGCAAATAAATTACTAACGTATAGGACAACTCCTAAAAACATTAGGAATTGATTAATCAACATTTTTAATTTGTTTGGACATTTGACGTGAAATCCGCCATAGATGACACCCTCATGATATCTCTAGGATATCATCGGGATATGTAGAGGACATCCTAAGGATATAATAAAAATATCTCTAGAATGACCTATGAATATTTCTAGAACGTCCAGAGTCAATGTGAAAAAATATCAACCTTTTTGTTACTTATATTTTGAATATATTATAGATATTCAGAGACATTTTTATTGACTTATTCAATTTTTTTTTTTTTGCTTAGGGACTTTTGGGAAATCTGCCTACAGATACCTTGGATTCCGCACTCCAAGGTTATGTGGGGTTGGTACAATGAAACAAAAGGAAATATTAAAAAAAAGATAAATACATAAATGTTATAATAAATTTAATAAACTGGCGACCTACTACCAGCCCGACCCACTAAAACCCGTAACCCTTCTTCTGGAGCCCTTTACCCTCCCTCGGAACTGTCGTAAGACTTTAGCCTTCGAGGGTGGCGCTCCAACTCTGTCGCTAATGCGACCTTCTCCCTTTCTCTGCGGTCCTCCTGCGTCCGTAGTTAAAAAAATGATTAAAACTATTACAAAGTCCAAGCGGAATTCACAGCACAAAAATAATTAAAAAAAAAACAAATATTTTAAGAAGTGTAAAAAGTCAAAAGATAAAATTGTAAACGGATATAAAAAAGAAAAGAAAAAAAAAGTAAACACGTATATAATGTTGAAAAGATAAAACTGTTTAAAGACGAATAAAAAACACAAAACAAATTAAACAAAAAAATGTATAAGGACAAATAAATCACAAAATAAATTAATAAAAAACAAACAAACAAATTAAAAGCTGTTTAAATCACGCTTTTTGGCTCCTTTTAATACTTCTTATTTGCTTTTAGTTCTTGCGAGAGTCTTCTTCGCCTTCTCAAGGGCCGTCCTGAAGACTCCGCATCCTCCGCTGCCTGCAATATGGGTGGTTGACACCTTATTGCCAATCTTTTCCTTGCACAAAAAGCAACTTGAGTTGTTTTTACAGTTGGAGAACCTGTGACCGGCCTCACCGCACTTAAAGCACGCAGCCGATCTGTCCTCCTTCTGGCATTTGGCTCCAATATGGCCGTATCCCAGGCATCGATGACACCGGACGACCATTACTCTTCTTTTGATTGGGCAACACATAAAACCAATTTTTACGTGTCCCAATTTCTCCAGCCTGTTCGCCTCTTCCAGGTTGGTGACTACAACCGCGAGCTTCATCCCTCGGCGGTTGGGTCCTAAGACCGTCACTCTCCTGTTTACTGGCTTACCCATTGCTTCAGACAACACTTGTTGCACCTCAGCTTCTTAGGTAAGGCAATCCAAATCACGGATCTCGAGTGTAACTCTTCGATCCAATGACTGCACCTTACCCATGCTTCCAACCGCCTTGGTGACCTCAGCGGTGAAAGCGTCCTTATCGGAGTCTCCTCTGAACTTAATCAGAAGGTCCCCCTTGTTTGTAGCTTTTGCTGCTACTATTCTCGTATGGCTGTCCTCTGGGTTGACCTCTTTGCGAAGCTTACCCAGAACGTCAGCATACGTCAATCCTTTACCGACTCGGATTAGAACTGTGGATCTTTTTGACCCAATTCTTTCCAATTGAGGAATCTTTGGATCTGGTACTTCCGTTTCCATTGGAGGAGCTTCCTCCTTCTTCCTCTTATCGGTTTTGGTTCGAGTCTCTTCTGGACTGTCACCCTCTCTCTTCCGTTTCTGAGCATCTCTTAAGACGCTTTTGAGATTACGCCTATAGAAACGCTCTCTCTCTTTCTTACGGTCCTTGCGGTTGCATTCCGCACCGCTCAGAACGCATGCCAAATCGAAGTCCGACTCATCGGCCGCGGCATGCTTTGCCCTTGCCTCCTTTAGCAGGACGTCGATGACCTTGAGTCCATCCTTTACCGTCCTATTGACGGTCTTCTGAATGTCGCAAGATTTTATCATCCGCCATAGATGACACCCTCATGATATCTCTAGGATATCATCGGGATATGTAGAGGACATCCTAAGGATATAATAAAAATATCTCTAGAATGACCTATGAATATTTCTAGAACGTCCAGAGTCAATGTGAAAAAATATCAACCTTTTTGTTACTTATATTTTGAATATATTATAGATATTCAGAGACATTTTTATTGACTTATTCAATTTATAATAGTATCTTAATTTCTAGAGTTCTTTTTGTATATCGTGATAATATTCTAAGGATATCTTAGGATTAATGCAAGGATATCCTTGGGATATCCTAGATATGTTCTTAGTATATTATTTGAATATCCAGAGGATATTTTATAGATATCCTTATATATCCTGAGGATGTCTCTGGGATATCCAAACCGCCGGGCTTTAGGATATCCTTACATTTTCCGTTGGATATCTCTAGGACATCCCTAGGATAGCCACGGGATTATTCCATAATATTCTAAGATATTCTAGTGCTAAGAGGGCATAGACGATAAAATAACTAACCTGATACCCAGGTAGAAATTCGTCAAGTATTACCCAGTTGCGAATTTGGGTTGGCCGCCAGAGTTTGAAGGTTGGCCCAAGGTTGGCCTAACTTTGGCAAGCGAAGTTTTGGTTGCCAGAGTTTGACCAACTTTGGCAAGTACTAGTGCCCACAGTTAACCCGACTTTGCAAGCCAACCATTACATGCAGAGTTTAACCAACCGTCGGGCCAACTTTGGTGACAAAGGTTGTCAGAACTCATCGAAAGGTAGTTTAAAAGACTTTCAGTTTCGGTGGGCCAAACTCTGGGCCACGGTTGGCCCGACTGTTGGCAAAACTTTGTCAAATGCAGTTTAAATGACTTAAACTTTCTTGGTTGGCCGAACTCTGGGCCACCGTTGGCCCGACTGTTGCAGCTTTTATATACATTTAACGTTATATATTCCCATGTAAGCGTAGCATAGTGGTCAGTGTATTTGGTGCGTTAGGTTAAGGGTTCGATCCCAGCGAGCGTTAGATATTTTCGAAAGTGTATGTATGAGATTGTGTTTAATAATAATAGGTAAAGGTTATATCTGATGTTCCTGTAATATATTAAAATTATGAATAATAATATAATAATATATAATATATATTGTTCTTTTTTTTAAATCCCCAATACATATGAACTTATCCCTTTCTTATTCTCTTTAAATTCTTTTATTTTATAACGTTATTTGACATTATTTCTTTAAACTTCTTATAATTCGTTTTCGTCAATGTATCATTTTTCATTAATCGATTTATTCGTACTTCACTAATATTTATTTTAAATCAACTTTTCCTAGCACGATTTCTCACTTTGCGCTTTTATTATTCTTCACTTTAAACTTCATTAACAATTTTCAATAATAATTGTTGAGAACTTCTTGATACTCAAAATTACGGCAAAGCTGCCCCACACGGAAAAAAATTTCTTATAAAAAACACAAACTTTTTTGTAAAATATACAAATAGGTTAAGTTGTGCTTTATGCAGGCGAGTTTTGTGTTTCCAACAAGCTGGTTTGGGTGTACCACAAACCAATCTGTAATAACACCAAGAAATCCACGCATGCGCAAAAGAATTCAAGTGAACGTCTGCTTGTCGTCTGCTGCGTGACTGTTTAAGCTGTTGAATCAAAAACTGAAGTTTGTGACAAGAATCATTCTGGTTTGTGTATTTCCCAAACTCAGCCGTTTGTAGATACTACAACCGCCGTTCATAGATGGCACAGGAAATCTTGTAATTTTCACAGAAAATTTTTTTCCGTGGCACGACTTACTATCGCGAAGACCCACGGGCAAATGCCCAGATTTCCCTGTGTCAATCAATTTTATTAATCGACATTACAGTGTTGAAATCATTCTTTAGTTTATTTGACCTTGGTCGTTGCCAAGCGCTTTTCTGCAAGCTTGCAGTTTTGGCCAGTGCAGTGGTGTGATCCTGGTTCAATATAAATTTATAAATGTGTGAAATATAATAAACTGCAATAATTGAGAAATATATTGTATTTTACTTCATTTTAACCGAGATTATAACGAATAGATAAACTATGTTTGTTTTATTATTACTTTTAACACAGGTATTTGTGTTTTGTTAATATTTTATTATAAACATTATATTTGTATTTAATTATCACGAAGTGATATTTAGTTACGAAGACGATCGTAACAGTTCCCGCTAATAATAACGTGTTAATTGTATAAATAATTTGTCCATCGTCGCCATTAGACGGTGAACCGTTATCATCTGTATGGTTAGCCCAACCTCTGGCACGAGAAGTTGGACCGACTTTGTAAAAGTTGGCCCAACTAGGGTCCGACCAAAAAATCGCACCTGGGTACTTGTTTCTTTCCAGTAGTTGTAGAGTCGAGAGCGATTTTCACTTGCCAAGACAATCTGGCCAGTTTTGAATATGTGACTGGCCAGTTTCACTGGATAAAAACAATTCCCCCTTGTAAACAGTACTTTTGTCAAGTCACTGACCAGAAAATCTGATCATAATCGAGATAAGAATTTCTTTCCAGACACTGGCCAGTCACTTATTTGAAGAATTATTTAAGATTCCACATAGAAAAACTGGTCCACCACTGATCAGAAAAACTTGCCGTATCCTATTATCCCGTCAGTAGTCGCGCCTTTTTTAGTGTCTCACTTGCACTCTAAGAGCGCCCTATAGGTCGAGTAGTGTTGCGTGAGACTTTTTCTCACGGCGCGACCGCTGACGGGTTAAAAGAATTATTTTAGATTTTTCCAATTCTCTAGCCAGAAAATCTCAAGATTTTTCACTATCAAAAAAAGAAACTGCGGACACAGAAACTGACCAGTCACTAAGAAAAAAAACAAAGCACCAGTCCCATAAAAATACACTCTTATGCCCGGTTTCACCAACCTCGATTAAAACATTAACGGACCGTCAAATTTCTACTTGCGTTTCACCAACTTTTAACAGAACGTTATCTCGATTTAACCCATGTTAACTCTAACCGGCCACAAGAGGTCGGTTAACGTGTGTTAACAGTCGGTTAACGTACCCTAACCTAAAAAGTGTTTTGAAAAGTGACAGATAGTGTAATTCTTGTTGCCAGAAAAATAAATTTTATGAACCATAAGTCAGAGAAATTAAGGGAAAAGTCAAATAAATTTTATTTCAAAGATGTTAGAGTCGAATTTAGAAATTTTAATTTTAAATTATTAATTTTTTAAATAAACTTTAACTTAACGTGTCCTTGGGACAAAGAAATTGTAAAGGTAGTGGATTCCCCCTCTACTTAGTTATTGATTCAACTAAGAGGTTGAGAACCCTACTCCTTGAATTTAGAGAAGATAGGATAGTTTTAGGAATAATTAAATCATAAGCAAAAATAAGATTAAACAAATAAGATATATTTTACCCAAAGAAATCCCTAATACAAGTAACTCTAAATTGGTGTGAGTAAAGAGTAATTCTATACTTGTGTATGAAAGAATAGTATGTGTATGTGTGTGAATGAGGTGAAGAGTATATGTAATTTTATACAAAATGCTTTACTCACTACTTATAAATTATTTCCTTGAAATGTGAATCCAATGACGAATGTTTTTATCTCTCTGTCTATCTCGAAACGGTTATTCCAGAAAATTGAGGAAATACCAAATCTAGGGTCACTAGATTGATATTTTCACTGAGTACTTTAATATTCCTTTAGGAATACACAAAACCTGAGACTTAAACCTCGTAAAGAAAGGTTGTCTTTACATATATTGGAATTAAAACAAATCCTTTAAATTTATTAGAATTATATTTATCTTTCTGCTGACTTTAGATTTTTTACTTTACTTTAATTATTTTTATTCTTTTGTATGAATCACAACTTCTTTATATTTATTCTTTACTCTTTTATTTTATTATTTTCTTTAACTCTCTATTCTCAATATTTATTTCATAAATTCTCTATATTTATTTTCTTTCACTTAATTTCAATATTTT